TTCAAGGCCAGATTGGATGGGGCCCTGGGCAGCCTGGTCTAGTATTAAATGTGGAGGTTGGTGGCCCTGCAGGAGGGTTGGAGATTCATGATCCTTGAAGTGCCTTCCAACCCAGGCCATTCTGTGACTCTGTGATTCTGTAAAAGCTTAGGAACCTGGAAGAAGCCAGATCTCAAGAAATAAGATAGTGTTTTTATCAGGAAAATGGACAATGGTTGCTTATTCTTATGAAAGCCATTACTTTCTTGTACCTAAAAACAAGTTTGCATTGGTATGGACATGGTCTGATACTAAGTGTCATTTTCAGTCATTGTCCTTAACAAAGGATATGAAATTATTTTCCTGTTTTCCTTTCTTGTCAATCAGTATTTTTCCTTTAATACATATTAATAAGGCTTACCTTTCTTATTTGCCTCCTATTGAAAAACTGTTTCAGATGATCAGCTTTTGAAGTAACCCTGCAACTTATGTGACTCACAAGTGGGAATAAATGCATATATAAGAAGCAGCTGTCCATTTTACTATATTTCTCATCAGGAGCCTTAATAATAAAATAAATAGCTCTTGTATTCCTAGCAAACACTAACACGCCTCAACAAGTGTCGAACTTGTAATCATAATTATTACCAGTCCTTTTACCAATAAAGGATTCTTTCATTCACAAAAGCATACTTTCTTTGTTGAATAATGAATGATTGTAATGTCAGTGATAATAAAATGCTATACATTATACACACATTACGATAAATTCAAAATCTAGCCTCTCAGATGAGAACAAATAACTGACATGAAATCCATGTTCTGCAGCTACTGCACATAAACTTTAATCTACATCAATCTTCAATTGCTGTTGTTGAAATCTAACACTTTGTTGCCAATTTTAGTTTCTAAAAGGGTCTAATACACATATTTCTATATCTAGTAAAATTTTCTACTTAAGCAAACCATTTCAGAAACATCAAGATATCATCTAGTAATAGTACTCTTAATTGTATTTTCCAGCCAGAGAACATAAAGCCCATAGGTATTAGGGACATTAGTTCCTAACATAGTGGCAACTCAGTGAATGAAGAAGGGTGACAAATAAGGTACTAATTAATTTCAGAGGAAAATCAGATTTCTAAGCTATGCTATAAATCAAACATCTTAAGTTCAGATGGCACCTATGACATATTGCAGTTCTTCAACATTCTGTCAAATAGCACGTGGCAACACGACTTCTAGAGGTACTTAATCTTTTTTTCTTATACTCCAGTAACCAAAAAAGCCACAAGCAATTAAAACACATTTAGAAGAAACTCTTCAAGCACCACAGTTGGCCTTGAGTGGATAAGCTTTGGAAGAACACATTTGCAAATGATAGAAGATGGTAGCTATGCTTTTTGACTGAAAAACTCAAGGAGGAGTTCATTTTTCAGTGTGACATTATGAAACTTCAGGAACCTCATCAGAGAGAAAGTAATTTCTTCTGTTTAATTACCACCCTACCACCTCTCATTGTTTATGAAGGGAAAAACAATGACTGTCCCCCTTAAGGTCTCTTTTTTTCCCTCCCTTTCTGGTTGTAGCTTATGCAGCCCCAAGAGCTTAGTCAAACTTTGTGGATGAGCCTGCCAAAAGAAACACAAGCTGATATTTGACTGATGTTGAAAGTGGAGAATGACTAGATGGATTGGTAATGTTGCCTTAATAAACAGCCTTTAAAAATGTCTCAGTGCAGAGAAGAAATAGAACCACGCTCAAACAATTCATTTGTGTCTTTGGAGCAAAACAAGGCATAAACAAATCTTGGCCTAAATAACAGTTATTTTGGCTTTGCACTGATGATATGATTGCGTCACTGAGAAATACTCCACCTAATGTTGTGGAAACTGAACTAATAACATAAATTCAAGAGTTGGACACCATCAGCTTAGTTTTATGACTTAGTTTTTTGTACCACTAAGTGAAAGTGGTAAGTGAATTTTTGGAATAATGTGTGGAATGTTTCCATGATATTTATATGGAGCTTGATAAAACCGTACCAGTCTTGATCTGAGCTTTGTGAAGCTGACTAAAGAGACAAGATGTTGGCTCCAGTTTTGCTTTCATGCTTAAGTTGTGCAAATATTTGAAAAACTGTTTTAGCTCACTTTCTCAGGACTTCTCTTTCATAAATAGAATATCTGCTCCCACAGCTGTGTCCTAACAAGGTTAGGGTCCTGACACACAGGAGTAAAGGAACATAGCTTTCATACCAGATATTAGAATGTATTACCTGGTCTTAGGCTGTCACATACATCTTTAATAAAGTTTACAGGGCCAATGGGAAAAACAGCACAGTTGATTTAATCAACAACATAATGAGATGAGAACCTTCTTGCATATGTATTCAACTGGCTTCACATCACTGACAGATAAAACATCTTCTCTTGAATGAGAGACATGACTGTTAATGCAAGTGCTGGATAAGAAAAAAACTAAGGAAATGAATAAGATTGGTTTGATGAAACAGTTAAAAATTCTACCTTCACACTTGCAAGGATTTAGTGAGCTGAATACCCTTCTCGATAAGAAAACTAACATGCCCTTTTCAGCTTTCTCTGGTTCTGTAAATGCTTGCCTCACATACAAGAGAGATCAATTAATTCAGTGAGTAGACTAATGATTTCAGTATACAGAAGATTCCTCTATGAAGTAACAGCACTAAATTATCACAAAATGAATTATTTGCAAGTACGTTGACTGTAGAAAATTCTTGGATCAGCACAAATATCACAGATTAACAAACTTGTCTGCTACAAAGGGGAAAGCAAATTTAAATGTTAAGAATCTGTGTACTGAAAAAATTGGCTATCTTTTTGTTCAAGCAGTATCAGTAGCTCTAATCAATTCAGCTACCATTCTTAACAACTTTATCAGTCCACACTTCTAAACATTTCTACACACAGTTACCAACTTCGAGATTTAACAGATTTTTTTCTACTGACATTTGTGGCCATAAGCTCTTTGTCATTCTACTGTAGACATTTGACCATACAAAACACAAAACTAATATAAAAATAATACTGTTTTTGCTTACCTGTGACTGGGTACTAGGTACCAATTTGTACATATTCTGGAGTTGTCCATTTACTTTTTTATCTGATTTTACAGAAAGAAAAAATAAATACACAATATCATTTTTTGTTTTCTCCAAGGAAATCAAATCAAGTTTTATCTGGATTTTTCAATAGCTGGGAAATTAATTTAAAGGGTGAAAAAATTTCAAATGTATAAAAATATACCATGTAACTGTTTTGTTCACGCTTGTTTTTCCTGATTTTTTTTTTTTAATTAATTAATTGATCTACAAAGCCTCCTCTTCGCATTTTGACAAGGAGAAAATGTTTTAGTTGTACCACAGAGGTAAGAAAGCCAGAATGGTCTTTGGGGGCTTTTTATGGGGAAGACAGATTTTTAAATAACCAACACCACCAATATGCAAGGAAGAGACTTGAAAGAGGAAGAATTTCTGCATACAGCCTGTCAGGCTGGTACTCATGGTTTGAAGTAGCATACTGTAAACTCTTCAGTAGTTTGCACTTCAAATGTATCCATCCAAAAGAAATATATGTTCAGCTCCAGCAGTATAGAGCAAATATATAACTTCTCTTTGGATCTGACATGTTTTCCTTTGTCTCAATATGTGATCAAAATAACTCATGGATTGGAATCTCTAAATTTTTTCACTTTGACTTTTTTCTCTTCTTAGAATTAGAAGATTCTTGTGATGAAACTGAAAATATACAAGAAAAAAAGAGTCTCTTTTCCTCATCTTTTATATCCTAATACAGTGCTTCAAAATTTGTCTACATATTTTGCCTTTGCATTGTTCTGTTCCCTTTGAGTCAACAGACCAATAAACAAAAGTCAAGGTAATATGCATCTTCACAATTCCATCCAAAATGAATAAGCGATAGAAAAAATATCAACAGAAAAAATGAGTTAAGCAACATTTAAATAGACATGCTATCATGCAGAATCTTTCAAAGTGCTTAATATTTGTCAGGAACAAGATCTACTGCTGGCATGAAGACAATTATTTCACAATGATTTAACGACCAAATCATGTTGTTGGTCAGAAATAATTAACTTTCATCTCTTTTGGTAAATTTTCATTCAATAAATGTTGAACATTTGCCATGTCTTTTATGTCTTTCTCAAATCATGAATCAGAAAAAATATTATCTTCCCAAACCCTCTCAACATGTTTAAGATATAAAAAGTTTGGCCTGAAGATTCAAATACAGGAACATGCAACAGTAATACCAATTTATAATAATTAATATATTCTTTAGTGAGGAAAGAACATTTACAGTGAAGGAGACGTTCCTAAATATATGAAAAGACTTGGAGTGGCTGCAAAGCAGTCTACAATAAAGCAGAAAAAGTGGCAATTTGTGCTTAATGGTAAACTTCTATATAGACAGATGGTTGCAAATTTAGAATGTTCACTCTATTTACTGCTCAAAATTTCTCCATCTACCTACTAGGAACTGACAACATGAAGGGCTTGAATCTGAAATACGCAGCCAGCTGTCTGATTAGAACATTAACATTTGCTGAAATCAAGTACCTCAGATATGTAACAGAATAGTGCTTGTATCAATAAATCAGAGTGTAGACATCCAGGATAAGAGCAGGTCCTCCGTATTTAGATGTTGCAGAAGCACCCACTGACTACACTCCAGAAAAAAAGAAATCTCACCTATAAAGTATACAAATTCTTATGGGACCATATCTTTCAACTCAATTCAGCATGCCTCCCTAACTGAGGCATGATTCTTCCGGCACGTTAAAAAATGCAACGTACGTAAGAAAAACTTTCAGTATAAACAGCAAATTTAGTGATAGCAGTGTACATATTTTAGTCGTAGTCTTGAACACAGTACTAAACTATAAGCGCTACACACTCTTTATTCCCTGTTAAGTATTCAAATATATTTCAACACCTGTTCTATAAATTCCTTGGCAAAACAGCCATTTATTAAGCCTTCTTCAATGCTGTGAAGCGAAGCAATTTTTGTGAGGTGGGTATGGGAAAAGAGTATTCTCCACATTAAGTTCATGGTATAATGATGGCATTGTTCTGAACTCCCACAATGACTCTACAGGCACTGGGCAGGTACCTTAAAGTTACAGCTTTCTAATGTATGCTGAAGTCCAGGTAAGTTTTTGAGTATAGAGTATTTGGACTTTTGCAGTGCTACCAGCTACCTATGGCTCTGCTCCCTTATCCTCATTATGTTGAGTTAAATAACTTCCCTGCAACTTGAAACTGATGTCAAAATAAAATTTCAGATGGAAATCTCACATAAATACGACTATATTATGAGAATTTCCGTTCTTCCTGTCTCAGTGAAGCTATAAATACTGAGCTTAGGAGTTTGAAGCATCTTCTGACAAACATCATGCTTAGAAATGTCTTTAATTAAATGCCTGAGGAAAACTCAGATTGGAAAGAGTATGTTCAATCGTTTTTGAGGCAAAAAACTTCCTCTCTTTCCTTATCTGAAAGGAGGAAAACTCAGCTGCATAGTTCTTCCACTGACAGCAGTGATTCTTTGAACAGTATGTGGTTTTTCGATGGTTAATTTGATGTTACTTTGCCCACACTTTCCTAGGACTTTGCATTAAAAAAAAAATAAAATAAAATATAACTGTGTAAACATCCAAAAATGCCATTCCTGTCTCCATGAAGACCCAAACAAAGGCACACATTAAAATGTAAATTTCCTATGAACATAATTTATATAATTCTTTGACTGAAAATTAACTTTGAATTGAACTTTTCTGAAGAGCCATAAGGGGCCCATTTTGATGTATGCTGGATAGGACAAGCTCTTTCTAGCTTTTAACCAGCTTGAATTTATAAGCAGAAGATTCAAACAAGAATAGTACTTTCCATCAGATCCGATTAGTAATGATCTTACTACTCTAGACCCAAAGAAAAAGCTTGGAATCCAGTCAGATGTATAAATATGTGGATAACGCTTGGTTGTAGCTACCTAAACTGCTACACTTCTACCAAACTGCAGCAGATTCTCTATCATTCACAATTAAATGAGAACATCTTTCAAATAAGTAGATAACAGTTTTTCAAAAACAAACTATTTCTACTTTCACCAATTCCTAAAAGAATTTATTAGGGGCATGCAGGTGGCATTAAAACAATGAAAAACAGATCAGTAGTTTACTTTAAGTTCTATCACAATAGAGGAAAAAATGCTGTCAAAACTATTATCTATTAGATAATACATATATAAATATGTATAATATTTACACAATATATAATTGTATAGTATGTATATAAAACACTTACTAGACAGAACTGTCTTATGATTGGAAGTCTTGCTCCAGACGCTATCCTCCATGTTGTCTTTAACTCCAAATTCATAAAGTGTGTTTGGCTTCAGATTGTCCACCACCGTTTCTGTAACTGGGCAAAGCTGAAAAACCCATTTCTTGTCTTTATCCTTTTCTCTGTAGCGAACAGTGTAGAACCTGCTCAACAAAAACAAGTTTTTCTTCAGAAAGAAACTCACCGCAATCATTTGTGTTAGTAATTACTAAATTGACTTATACTAACTATTGCTTTTGGTCTTTTAGGCCCCTTAGGATTATCAAATATCTGAAAAGCCAGCAAATAAACATAACGTGATCCTTATTGTTTCCCCGATGCATACATATTCCTCCTCACACAGCAACCAACATCATTAGTAGCATATACAGAGCAAAAAACCAGTCTCATTAGTTTTGAACATCCACATGTGATTCTGAGCAGAAGCTACAAGCTTATTTTACAAGTAGTTTCTGTAATTCTGATATATGCTGGAACAAGTCAATTGAATAGACATGAGTCTATTCATTAGTGAGCCTCAACAAATTTCTTAGAAACTTCTGCATCTCTCTGTGGTGAGGTGTTCCCCCTAAAACTAGTCCAAAAATATTCACAAGGGGAAAAAAAGTAATAGTTGACATTTACATAATACATTTTTCATCCAGTGTTCTCATAATATATTGCCCTTTGAACACGAAAGTAAACTAAGACATTACTTTCTGCATTTAAAATCAGTGTGATTAATACTAATGGATTATAAAATTAGAAAGCACATCCACTGAAATTGCTCGATTAAATCAAGCAGCACTACCCTGAAAAAGTATGACTGTAATACTAACCAGAATAAAACAGTACAATGTAAATGCTGAGTTATGGCACAAAAAATAACTGCTTGCTAATCTCCTTTTCAATATACAGACTGTATCATTGCCAAATTAGAGTGTGGTTTTCTGTGGTTTTCTTTGTTTTGTTGTTGTTTTTATCAGAGATGTTTGGTAATTCTTTAATCCAAGTATTACTGAAATTTGTTATACATACTGTAAAACATCCATCTTACACTGAAAAAGGATGAATTCCATCCAACTGCTTTTTTTCTACACTTTGATAGTGGCTTCTGGAGAAGAAAATTAAGGCCAAAAAATAAATGGAAATTCAAAATCGTGCTACAAGCCTGAGAATAACTCAGAAACAAAAAGAAAAGGAATCTGAGTTGTAAGGTACAAAATTCTGTGGATAGGTTTTGGATTTTGGGTGGTCCTGTATGGAGCTGGAGTTGGACTTGATTACGTGCCCTTTCCAACTCAGGATATTCTTTGATTCCATGATTGCAATAAAGAGAAAGATGATGCTGATGCTTGCAAACCAGATGTAGATGCATTCTTAATGTAGTGCACAATTATTTTTTTGTTTGTTTGTTTTACACTGCTGAGTTGTATGGAGTTCAACAGGAAGTAAATGAAGATCAAAATACTCTTTTGTCATAAAAGGAAGAATACAAAGAGAATTCTAAAATCACAGAAAAAACATAAAAAATAGCACCTTCAAGAGTACTTGCAAATACATGTTACCAAATGCTAAAAGTTTTCAAAAATTTAAGAGTGCTCTTTGAAGCTAACTAGCACTGTATTTTCTTAACACTCCCATTTTGGAAGACTTCCTGAGCTCCACATCTACTGTACATTCATTAAATAATGACAACAAAACAAATATTGTAATATAAGAGAACTTCTACTTAAAATAGAAAATTAATGAAAGCTGTACTCTAGTAGAAATATCAGTAAAGTAGGGAAGTGATAAGACAAAACATAGAAAGTAAAAATCAGATAGTATTAAAACAGGGTGCCATTCTCCTATTAAAGCACAACAAAAGCCATATTTTACTTCAATTTAGCCAACTTTAAATCAACATATTTCCTGTCATTGAACAATGTTTCTTCCAATTTATTCAAATGCAAACAAAGGTATAGCCAAGACCACTGCTGTAAAAACAATAAAGGATCTATGGTGAAACAGTAAGATCTGTACTTCAACACATAGGCACCTGACTAAATTTGCTATCAAGACAGGTAAAGGCTTGCTAAGCACTAACTTAAGAAGAAAACTTACTTCACACTCAGAACTAATGCAGTGTTTTAATTTACACTGTCATTTTTCTTCACCTACGCTGGATAACAACCTGCACAGCTTCAAGGTTGAAATGTTACATTAAAACATTATCACTGCAAAAGCTGTTTTCTGTTATTTTACCTGTCGCTAGCACAGTTACTTGTTGCTGTCCAGTCATGCTGAGGGTTGACTAGGATGCCCCAAGAGAGGAACACAGAAGTTGGGGTGAGAGTGCCAACTACCAGCTGCAGAGGCTTTTGATTCTTGTTCCGACCTAGGTAAGAAACATGTAATTCCAATTATAAGTTAGTTTCTCTTGCATTATGTAGGGGAAACATTTTGCTGTTGGACAGTCAAATAAATGACGACCCACCACTCTTCTGAATTTCAAGGGAAGGGGTCAACTGTTCTCAGCATTTCTAAAATATTGTCTAAAAATGGGGTTGGAGGGTGTCTCTGATCTGCTTGTTGGCTTCTCATTGAAGCAAGCAAAATATCTGGAAGTAAGAGACTGCTCCTTTTCTGAAGCTAACTGAGCATGAATAGAGTAAAAAAGTGCAGTATGAAGTTCACAGAAAGGAAGGGAAGATGCTTCTAGAAACCAACAGGAACAGAAATTGGTAGAGCACTTAAAATAAACAGGTATTGGACACACAGTCAAGCTGAAGAGGCAACATAAAGAGGAGTTTTATTAGGTCCTCCCTGAACTTACACAGAATATATTTCAGCCTTGGAAGATACTGGGATTTTTCACTTCCAGACTTGTAGATTCAGGGTAAATGAAAAAGAAATAACACATTTTTCTATTATTTTGTGGACAGGAAAGATTAATTTACAAAACATCATAACAGTTTTGTCTTATTGCAAGTTTTCTTTATGTCTCATTTTTGAGACTATGAAAACTTTAATGTTTATTTTTTGTATTATTAGTATATACATAATTCAGATTATTAGAAGGTTCCTCTTTCAGTGTGACAGAAAAAAAGTGTTTTCTTGGCAGGATTCCTACTAACACAACAGGTGTGTCCACAGACAATTTATACTGTCGACAGCACTTTCCATCAAGAGTAAAATAAGACCAACAAAAATTCTGTTCTTTTGAATTGTAGGCAGATCTGAATTGGTGTCAGTATCTAGGACGTTTTTGTTTTTTAACCACATACTAAATTCAAAATACTTACATTTCGGGTGATACTTAGATTAAATTTTCTCTGAATGAAGAAGCACAACTATCCCTTCATGTGGAAAAACAACTTTATTCACATGTATTTAAAAGCTTTTAAATACTTTCAAAAGTAAGATTTTCCAACAAATCCAAAAAAGTTGGAAGAAATGATCTAGAGCAAATATTTTGGACCTGACCTTTATGGATTGCTACAAACCCAATCAGAACCTTAGTTCCTTAGTTATATGAAAGACAATGAATGAAAGGAAATTCATATATTCTTTGTATCATTTTTTCATACTTGAAATATCTAATTGATCTGTATTTCCTCAAAATATACATGTGACCATAAGTTCCCTAAAAGTTTAAGCCACTGAAACAGTGATTTCTTTTCATGCCTTTTGATCCTTAATATCTCTTCACTCAACAATGAAAATCTGATCTGTACTTTCAACCAATGCATGCAGGTGCATTTAAACTTCTTAACCAATTTTTTTCTGTAATACTCCAATTTTCAATTCTCATTTGTAGAACTTTTTACAAGAACTGTCTTCAGGTATTGTACAACCTTCATGTTTTTAACACCACATTCATGACTAACTACTGTCTGGGAAGTACTGGTCTGCATTTCGCCTTTCACATATGGAGCTCATGCATCTCAGTAAGCTACCTACAGTTACAGATACATTTTCAGAGAAAGCTAGTAAAAATAGGATATTATCTTCCTCAAAACTACTTGAAAAAAGAGATTCAGTAGTGCTCAAATACCTGAACAAGATTTCTTGTTATTTGAAACACGTGCTGGTCTCACTGAAACCAAATACCGTGGCTCTGCATCTGTAAATGAAGAAAGAATTAGTGTAGATTTAACATTTATTTGAGACTGGGATTAACCTATAATTTATTAATAAAAAGTCTAATATTCAGTGAAGATTTGATATCCAACCTTAAGGGTCTTTAGGCACATTTTCTTCAAGGTTTACTCAAAAATCATTCGGAAATATTTAGCCACTAGGAAGAATAACACATCACGCATCTCTGCATAAAAGATTTTGCCTTTCTTTTTTACCAAGAATTAACAAATATGTGAACTTGGCAGGACATACATGTAACATTTCAAGCTGGATGTTATTTGGAAAGCAAAGGATAAGGAAAGATCAGATGAAAAGGAAAAACTTGAGAGCTCCTCAGGCAGTTCTCATCTGCACAGTACTTTCAGCCTTCCCTACCTAAAAGCCAAACACATGAACAACCAAGATGAAACACACCAGTGGGATTTTGATGACCTACTGAATGGTGAAATTATATCCATAAAATATTCTTAAGATTATTCTATCAGAACGAAGAAATTGTGCTAGGATACTGCCTCCTACTTCTTAAATATACTTGCACACTAAGTGAATACAATAACTTGTGGGGAAAGGTGGTTTTTCTACTGCTCCCATCACCTCAGTATAACCAGAGCCCCATAGTGGCTGCTGATGTTACCACAGGAGGAGGACTTTCTCAGCATCAGATCTTTCTGAGGATGATGGTTCAGATATTATCAAACACCTTTTCTAGTAGTGCTTAGCTACAAAAGAATCCCCTTCAAAATAGCCTCCATCATTAACTAGTAGCAAATTTTTCCAGTGATGTCAAAATAGTGTCAGCATTTTGTTGATGCATTATGCATCATATTTTGTTTTTAACTTTTTAGAACCATTTAACGGCATGTCTCCTACTATTAATAACTTCTTTTAAAATTTATATATTGTTTCTGATTGCACATGTTAATTTTCCTATTGTAAGCAGTTTATGAGTAGAGCAAGCAAAATACATCATCCATCTAGCACAGTATACTCTGTTAGACTAATATTATATTATTCAAGATTTGCATGGCTGTTTGGTTGCAAGGAGCAACAATGGCTGACAAATTTCATGCAGTATTCACATCAGTCATAATCCTCTCTTATAAATATTTTACCAAAGGCTTATTGTGAGATGTAGCTGTTAAATGCTTAGAAAGTTTTGGTTACTCTCAAGGAACATAAATTTATTAATAACATCTAAGATCAGGAAACTAAATTTGTACAAAACTGACTTTTGTACTGAAGGGCTGAGTTTGACTGAAAACTCAAGATAGTTACAGTAAAAATAATGTTGCATGTAAAAGGAGAGCAGTAGTTAAATGATTTCCATATTACGTTCATATCAGAGAAAAGATATAAATCACATCATCCATACTTTTTGACATTTATATTTATTATAATTTTAAAACCTGTGCTTTGTTTCACAGGAAAAGAAACACTGCAAAATATTTTTTAAACCTTTACCTGAAAAAATCTGTCTCCATCTTAGCTCCAGATTAAGCTTATTTGCACCACTTCCCATAAAATGTTAGTCTGCTTTATTGCAAAAAAGTTACCAGAACAGATCACATCACATAGTCATAAAAGACACAAAACTCTGCCAAAGATAAGAATTTTCATATTTGGATTCAATCTTACCAGAATGACCTAAGTTTCCTTTAATGTACAGCAGAACTTCAGGCAGTCTAAATGATGCATGCATAGTCACTGGGCGTCAGTTGTGAAACTGTTTGGAAATCTTTTGGAAATACTTCATATGAAATGAAGTAAACCAACTTTTACACAAACTCTAACACATTAGAGAAACATCTGATCAGTTTGGATGACATGAAGACACATGGCAAAAACTAACTTGACTGATACTATGTGTATGTCTCTGGATACCCATGCTACATGTGTACTTTAATTACTGTTTTTTCAATGCGTTTTTTCAATTGTACCCCTAATATATACAACACAAGCAATGAAAGCAACTGCTCAGAACAGCATGGATGAAAGACTGTGTTTAAGAAAAAAACAACAGAAAGAGAGTAACCCTAAAGTACAATTATCCCTTCAAATAGAAACAAAACAAACAAACAACAACAAAAAAACAACTACATATTTTAAATATTTATAGAGGCATACAATTCTGCTAGAATCTATACACTTACTTAGAAACTTAGTGTGATAAGACCTGAAGCTAGAAATAAGTGACACTTCAAACTATTCTTAAATATTATATGTTAGTTTATATTTTAAAATAAATTTTAAAAATTGTTTTAAAATAAAACAAAAACAATAAAACTTAAAGTAATATTTCCTCATGCTATGCATTCATGACTATTTGGGAGAACATTATAATTCTCACAAAGTGCTGAAGAACATGACTATGAGGATTGGCCCAAAAGTAATATCTCTTATTTTATTACATTGGCCCACAACATCAGAGGTGGATGCTGGTGGTATGGCTGTAGAGGGTGAATCTTCCCACCAATATTCCCCCACATTTTGTTGCCATGTGACAGGTGGCAACAGAGGGGCAGGATGTCAAAATGGCATCTGATGTGGAAGTGAAAATGAAGCAGAGGTGTGTCACTGAATTCCTCCACGCAGAAAAAATGGCACACATCGACATTCATGACACTGAATGTTGATGGAGATCAAACACTGGATGTGAGCATGGTGAGGCAGTGGATGGTGTGTTTCAGCAGCAATGGTGACAGTGACATGAAGATAAGCCATGCTTTGCATGGCCACGTACAGCTGCCATATCCATGAAATGTAGAGTATCTTGGTCACCTCATCCACGTGAATGTATGGGTTTCGACCAGTGAACAGTATACAGAGATGAATATTGGCTTTAATGCATTGGAAATGACGGTGGCAACCTTGAAATATTGCAAAGCTTTCACCATACATGTCCCAGGAATTCTCGCACAGGAACAGAAATAACACTGTATGCAAGTTTGCCAGGACCTACTGAACCAATACAAGGCTGAAGATGACAGGTTCCTGGATCACATCATTAGCAGTGAAGAGATGTGGTGTCATCACTGTGAGCCGGAATCAAAACAGCAGTCTACAAAGTGACAAGATGTGAATTCTCCATTGAAGAAAACGTTCAAGCTGCAGCTCTCAGTGGGTATAGCGATGTGCACTGTATCTGGGGATTGGAAAAGGAAGATCTTTCCAGATTTCCTGAAAAGACTCAAATTTCCATATTCAGGCCAGAGAATAAGACAACCTTTTGCTTGCAACATCATAACACCAGGTGCCAGAACATTTTAAAGACCATGGAATACATTGCTAATCTTGACCAGACTGTCCAACCACAGTCCAGTCCAGATTTGGTGCCTTCTGAATTCCATCTGTTCAGACCAATGAAAGATTGGTGGTGTGGGCAACATATTCATAACAACAGCACTGTGATAGCAGCTGTGAAAGAGTGGGTTCACCTCCATTGGTGAGCACATTTATGAGCACATTGTGCTGGCTCTTGTTCATTGCTGGCAAAAAAAGCTAATGGTAGTGATCATGCTGAAAAATAGCATTTTGTAGCTGAGAATTCCCTCTTCCAAATAGTGTTATTGTGCACTTTGTAGCTGTTGTAGTTTCCAAGAAAAGAAATAGGAGGCATTACTTTCAGAGTAACCTACATACAATATCTTTAGTTCTGACCACCATTTTGAAACCTCATAAATTACAAAAGTCACTCTTCAAAATTTGTAAAGTTATATATCCATTATACAGTAAATACATGTGTGGTCTTGGTAAGAGTTCAAAATATTCTAAAGGTGATTAATCTTTACAGATCTACATGAACTTGAACAAGTTCAGTTTGAAATAGATTTACAAATTCAATACCAAAATATTCCAGGTTCCTTGCACTTAATGCCTTCTTGATGAGCTGATATTAAATGATGAGATCTGTTTGTTAGAACCTGTTATGCGCCCATTATTAAGGTTGGAGTGACAAACACCATGGTTAACAGACTGTTTCAGCTGGCACGCAACTGTTTTTCTGTACAAACCCATTGAAACTGCAAATCGTAAATCCAAATAGTGACAGGCTTAAGTCTTAATAGGAAAATGACCAGTTGTGCCAGATGATAACTAATCAACAAATACATGCTTAATTCTTAGTGTTACAGTTCTCCATTTTTAATTCTTTTTTAATTTTTTGGTTTTGATAATTCATTTGAGTGGCTCCAATATGTCATCAGTATTGCTCTTTCAAGTTTAAATACTCACAGCTGAATAAAGCAGTGCCAGTTTGGAGCAAAACGCTACACTCAGACAGTCACGTACACTCAAAAAAATAACCTCTGAAGTAGGAGGGAATCCTGTTCACAGACTTCAAGCACCAGGATTTGTAAAACACTGGGAATTCTATCTATGGCATTCAAGACATACAGAACACACCTGCATATACATTCAATACATATTCTTAAATCTACGTCATTTCTTTTAAGCACCACAGCTATTACAGCTCAGTGAACCATCGCCAGGTAAACAAAATACTTCTCTGAACTATTCCAGTGACTCAGTATTTTTTTTCATTCAAACAGCCTGAAAGACACACATGCACACTACACCTACCATTGTAGGCATACTAAAATTTACCGCAGAAGAAACATTTCAAAGACTGCTAAGTTCACAGAATTAAATCAGTACTTTGGCAACATTATAAAAGAAAAAAGCAACTTTTTGACTAAGATTCTGAGATATTCATGATAAAAAAAACTATTCAATAAACTTTATTACCCACCTGAACAGCCTGGAGAGACAACCAGCCTTGAGAAATATAATGATAATGCATGTCGCTAATCCAAACTAATATAACAATTCTATTCGCTGTGAGCTATGCTTTCTAACCAGTTACAGGTCCTGAATTAATGCTTAAGTACTGATCTAGTACACATCCCTGAATTACACTTTTTAAAATGTGTTCAAGGAGATATTAGAATTCTTCCCTTTTTGTACGCCAATTTCTTGCACAAATTATTACTTTTGCTACAAAGCAGAACTGCCAGCACATTCTCCTCATCACTACACAGTCTACTTCAAGTAGACTTGAAGGACTCAAGGAAAGGCTAAACAAAGTATGGTCCAACTCTTATCTGTTTCTTTGAATGCATTGTTTTCAGATTTTAGCTAATTGCAATCCATTCTTACAAAATCTCCTTGTCTCCATACAGTTTTTTGGTTTCCTCCAATGGTAACAATACATTCAAGAAGATTGACTTCATTATCTTCCTAACCAAGTTAGGTCAAACTAGTGCAAAAATCTCAAGGAAATATTCTTTGTGAGTCGTGAAGATTGAAGAGTTTTAGATGAAAGTCTAAATAAAGCTCGGAGCATTTGGATGGGTCTTTTCACCTTGCTTATTAGTCTATCTGAATTTAAATTCTGATATCTTTTGACAACATCCATTTAGCTTCCTTGACCAACAATAATGTCACTTTACTATCATGTAAGCTTGTGAAGTATCATCAGCACCAAAGAAAACACATCTTGCACCCTGATAATTCTTCATACCAAATTTCAATGCTACCTCACCATTGTCATTTACACTTCAGGTTAATTCAAATTGAGCTGTCTAGCAATGCATAAAGCTGCTCAAGAGTTTATTGCCAGCATGAGCTCATTAAAAGTTCAGGAAATCCAGCAGAAGTCATCTTTTTTACATGCTATCTGCAGGCAATTCCTGATTCATGAATGATATTACACAATTGCTGGCTCAGTTATCAGTTTAGTGTAGTTTAATGGGATGAAGTTCAATGAGTCCAAGTGCCAGGTCCTGCATTTTGGCCACCACAACCCAGGAAATAATATAGTCTTGGGGCAGAATGATTGGAAGACTGTGCATAGGAAATGGATGTGGGGATGTTATAAAGATTAGAATGTTTAGCTCGGCTAAACATAAGCCAGCAGTGTGCCCACGTAGCTAACAAGACCAATGGCATCCTGGCTCATATCAGAAATATTACAGCCAGCAGGAGCAGGGATGTGATTGTCCCTCTTGAATAATGTGTTCAGATTCAGATCTTTCACTACAGGAAAGACATTGAGGCCATGGAGGCTATTCAGAGAAGGGCAGCGAGGCTGGTGAGGGTTCTGGAACACAGATCTTACGGGGAGCGGCTGAGGGAACTGGGATTCTTCAGTCTGGAGAAGAGGCTCAGGGCAAATCTTATTGTCCTCTGCAACTCTTTGACAGGAAGTTGTGACAAGGTGGGAATCAGCCTCTTCTCCCATTTAACTAGTGATAGTACTGGAGGTAGGGGCCTCAAGTTGCACCAGAGGAGGTTCAGGTTGGATATTAGGAAAAACTTCTCTGAAAGAGTGGTCAGTTGTTGGAATGGGTTGCTCAGGGAAGTGACTGAGCTACTATCCCTCGAGGTGTTTAAGAAAGTCTGTAGATGTAGGGCTAAGGAATATGGTTAATGGGCAACATTGGTGGCAGGTGGATGGTTAGACTAGATGATCTTGGATGTCTTTTGCAACCTTAATGATTCTGTGATTCTATGCAAAAGGAAAGAAAAAACAAACAAGTAAACAACAAAAAAAAAAAAACTATTTTAAGAGAAGAACCACTCCAGGGAGGAGCTGAATATTTTAGTAGGTGAACTGAAAGTGGATGTCACACTTTTTACAAAGCCATGTGATTCTCCTGGAAGTAAATCCTAAGAAAAATCATATTCTCATTTATTTACTTCAAAATATATAAACATACATCTGTGATTTCATAAAATCACAAAATTAAATCTTACTGACTTTGTGTTTAATGTTAACAGAATCACCAAGGTTGGAAAAGATCTCCAAGATTATCTGATTCAACATCCACCTACCACCAATATTTCCCCTTTAAACCATGCTCCTTGACGATTTTAATCCTATCAAATCAAGATTCACTTCTCTATAGACAGATGAAATCTATTCTCTCAGATCTAGTCATGTTATCATGAAACGATATTCTAAAGTAATATTCCTTATCCTGCTAGGGAAACATACCTTCTGGTTACCACCAAATGCCCTTGAATATCCAATTCTAATCTTTATTTTTCAGCAACTAAACTAATTTCAAGTTGTAGTCAGCTTCAGTCTCTAAAGCTATCAGGAAAGGTCTTCTCTTTCCATTAACTACTAGAAGTAGTGAGAAAAAACCTTCAATTGTGTTAGTCTTGGTCTAAACAGGCCACATCTTTTCACATTTGGAATTCACTCCTTCCATACTGTTCAGAAAGAACAGTAACCAACCACTTTTCAGTGCAACCTGTAAATTCCATCTGTTTTCTGTAAAAGTGGGATAAGCTGAAGCACGAGAGGACTGAGAGAGTTGCCGGACTGAATGTGAATACCTTTCTATAAGCCTATCTCGTTTTGCTGTGGGGAAAAATTTTTGGAACATATCCTTTGCAAAGTGCACAGTGCCACATAAATGACTAGAATATCTAAAACACAGAACAGAAAATATCTGTGGGGTGAAATTTAAAAAAAGAACCAAACACCAACAACCAAACAAAATAAACAACAATAACAAAAATCCTTGTTTTAATATGAAGATAGAATACCAGGCCAATTTCATCACTTGAGATGTGCCAGAAGCACAAGAAGTCACCAAAGATTTTTCAACAATATCGCCTAGGAGTTCTTGTATCTTTGGAAAGAGTCTTGAGAATATTAATATTGCCCCTCTACAATATCTTGGTTTTTCCAGCATCCATATAAAGCAGTGTCTGATCTCTGAGTGACAGAATTAAACCTATCCACAGTTCCTAAAACTAAGAACCATCCTGGAGTGAATTCAGCGCCCAGCCCCTGAAATTGTGGAAGGTACCAGTCACCAATGTCTTTTCTTTAACTCTGTTGCATGTCAGCCTAAAACAGAGCCAAAAGCACAACAAGCATTTCTTCTTTTAGCTTAAGTTCTATATTCATACAGTAGCATAGCCAATGCTGCTGTTTAATGTTGTGTTTAGGATTAATGCAATGGCAAATATGTTGTGTTCTCTGCTTCCAAATTCCCATGAACAAATATACTAAGCACGTAAGGTAACACAAACTTGTAACTAAAAGCAATATTTTCAACAAATGTACTGTTAATTGCTTTAAACAAATGTTTGCAACTTAAAATATATACCTATTACTGTTAGCATCTTTTATTCCTTCTTTCCTATCAAAGATGACATTTTCTTCAAGTTGGAAATGCTAGTCCTTATAGCAGTACTAACAGATTGCATTTTTAGCTATTAGACATTTAGAACTTAAAATCAGGTTTACTGTAACTAGAAAACTTACTGACAACTTTTATTATCATGAGTGAATTACATTTTTGATGTTAATCTCCTTTAAAATAATTAAGACAGTATTATTCATCACTTGTGCCTTTCTCTTAAATTGTGCTGGATTGTCCAGATACACTAAAGAAAATGTTTTAGTTTCAGTAGAGGGGGGTATATATAATGGTGTTTCTCATCTTCAAGATTTTTCATTACTTGAAGATTTTGATTGCTTAACTGTAAGCTTTAATGAATATGCACGCAGCTAGCCACTCCATTGGACTGCAGAACCAAATAAAGGTATCTACAGTTCCTGTCACTAGATATTAGTATGAAAGTTACCAAGAACCAATATGTTCCAGGTGACATTCAGCTTTATGTTTTCATATGGTTTCACAAATCATTAGGTAGTAACACTGGTATTAAATGGAGGGAAGTGCAAATTATCTACATGTAACTATATTCAGGGCTTTTTCCTCTTTCCATGGATCTCAAAGTATGTAAAAAATAGTAACTTCCACTATTCCTGCAAGACAGCTGTGCAGATATTATTCATGCCCACCTCTACAGAGAAGCCAGTACATCATTTTTACTGAGCTGTTTTGAAAGTTGCATGGCATAGATTAGATTCATACAGCTTAAGTGATGTTTACGAACTCAAACACTGTATTGGTGATAAAAGCACAAAGAGATCACAGAAATATCAACTCATGAAAAGGAAGAAGTCAACCTTTTCCAGAGAAATCTAATGAAGGTTCTTAGTAATTATTTTATGTCTAACATCTTATTTATCTCCTTTCATATCTTATAATTCTCAGCCTGGAGCACACATCCAGAATTACCTTGATTTACCACATTAAAAACAATGCAACTGTTACTTCCATGATTATGCATGTTTTCTCTACTCTCTTTTACACAAAGGTCACTGACATTGCAATGATAAGGGTAATACAAGATTCATTCCAGGCTAGGAATAGGAAAATTCCCAGACATTGGACAGATTTTTTATAATGTAAAATTCTAATAAATCAATGTTTTATAATTCATAAGAAAATTATAACTGATCCAGTTCTCCTGGATTGCTATTCTATCAATACTGACAATCCAGGGTTAAAAAGACACCCTAATTTACGCTTTCTTTCCTATTCCAATCAACAAGATACAAGATTTCCAATGCATTTTAATCTCTGCCATACAACAACTCAGAGAGTTCTATTTGTAACTTCTGACACAGAATGTACAGGTTATTCTGCAACATGTGCAACTAGAACATGCCCCTACAAGAAAACGCATCATATTGTTATAAACATTTCCAGTAAAGTGAATCAACCACACAATACTTAGAATTGTTTTATTTCTGCTTCTTTGCTATGATAAAAACATAAACATCTCCCATATACATAACTGTAGATTTAGGCAAATCGTCTCATCTGTAATGCAGTCAATAGAGTACATTCTTTTAGGATTAAAAATTCCCACAAGTGAATATCCTCAAATATAAGTAACAAGCTCTTTCAAACAACAGGAACTTATTTTTTCTCCTTAAAGGAACACTGTGATCTGAAATTTTTCCCAAGTTAACTTTAAACACACAAAAAAAGCCAAAGCAATATCCCAGTAAAAACACAAATTAAGAAACCCAAAGAATCATAATTTCATTGGTCTATTTCCACACCATGACAACAGTAGCATGGAAAGGAATAATACTTTACCAAGTTCATTTATGTAAGTGCTTCCATCCGAAGGTAAAGGAATGTACTGATTAGAGAAGAAGCTGCTTCCATAACCCAGGACAAAACCTTCAAGTTTGGTGTTTTGGCTTGGTCGAAGATACCTCATGCAAACAGTGTCATCTGTTGCATTGATCTGAACTTTCAGACTCTGTCTTTTCACTACAGAAAGAGAAAAAAATAAGGGAAGAACAAAATGTATTATCTTGTAATTATGTATTTAGTAACAGAATATGACATTATAGCAACATAAGACCATTCCATTTGTTAGATGCAAACAAACAGCTGTTTGAAGGTAGATTCTCATGGCAACTGAGCGTATTTCAGAAAGCAAGCTGTTACATATAACTGTGGTTTCTAACATGTCTACTTTTTTCCCTTCATCAGTTTAGTAATATCATTAGCAGCTTCTTCTACAATTGTAGAAGAGTACATGAAGTAATCAGAAAAAATGTAAACATCTTTTCCTTTAAATATAGGAGTTATAGCAATAATTTAGGAACTAGAGATAACAAAATGGCAAGTCAGGAGATCATTCTCTTTTTGTTAGCAAAAAGAAAAAAATAATAATAAATTGTAAGGATGTTATAGCAGTAAGACATATTGCAAAATTAAAGGATGAGTGGTAACTACATCTGAATAAAAATGCTACAGCAGTTAGTTATTTATTTTCAGTTGTGTTCAGAAGGAAATGTAATTTTCTAGATGGAATTAAACTAGAACACCTAAACTAACACATACACATTACTCAGAATTTCCAAGAAACATTTTAAAACACTGACTGTTTGGAATGTTTATAAAATTTTCATAAAGTTATTTTACTTCAGAAGCTAAAACCTAAAGAAAAACAATGAGAGATGTATGATTTGTCATTACACAACAGGGTACAGCAATAACTTCTTTCTCTCTCCTGACATGCCCCTCCTGCTTTCTCCTTTCCATATATAAATGCAGACTGATATTCAAAATTTCTTCAGACAAGTACATACTGGTTCTCAGCAATCACTCCACTACCCTTCCACTGGAGAAAGTACAATGACTGGAGTTACTGAGAGGCCACAGTCCACATTTTCTGAAAATGATCCTGCAGTTGTCTGCAAGTTGGCTGAAAAGACCTAGACCAAACTCTTCATGCCCCTTTCCTTTATACAAAGGATACAAGCAAAATTGATGGGAAACATTTTCCTCCAATTAAACCCTTTATCTGAAGAGTGATCAACTAAACACACTCAGGAAAAAAAAAAGTCAGGAAGCCATCCCAATTCTCCAAAGGCAACTTTGCCATATCCCAGGAAATGACAGTAGTTTGAGACACCTCAACTCTGCCATTATCAGTGGTAAGGCACCATCCTGGGGAAAAGGGTGGTGGTTCCTTCCTCATTTGGGAAACAAATTCTCTTATCATCACACTGCAATTATATAAAAATATTATCTGCAATTTTATTATAAAAAATATTATCAGCATGCTCTCAGACATAAGATCCTGTGTGGAGCCAGGAGTTGGACTTGGGGGTCTCTTCCAACTGAGGATAATTTACAAAACCATTGTATATTTAAAATGAAAATAAGACAGTTAATTTTTTAAAAAGTCTTTTTTTTTTTTTTATGGCTGATTAAAATTTTTAATGCAGAAGTCTATTTATCTCATATTTGAATCAAATGCTATAAGCCTTCCTTCCTTTTTAGGAAAAGGAGGCTCACAAAAAGGAAAACACAAATGTTTAACAAAGGCTATCCTTTCATATATGCTTCCCTCTCTGCAGTAAGATACTATAAAATGGAATTTAGATGAATACTTAATTTTAATAAATGTAATTTGCTATCAATCAGAGGCAATAATCCTAAACTTTGATGCTATGTAGCATGCTTTACTAAGTATCACGATGTATATTAGATGACTTGGAAGTCTGTTGATGTTCCTTCCTGGTTTCTACTGTTTGGAACCTTGTTAGTGTCCGAAGTTGCATGTCCCCAGTAGCTTCATATGGTGATCACGGAATCATAGAATCACCAAGTTTGAAAAGACATACAAGATCATCCAGTCCAACTGTCCGCCTACCACCAATAGTTCTCATTCACCATGTTCCTCAACACAATGTCTAAATGTTCCTTAAACACCTCCAGGGTTGGTGACTCCACCAAATCCCTGGGGCGTCCATTCCAGCACCTGACCACTCTTTCAGAGAAGGAGTATTTCCTAACATGAATTACAATCTGAATTTCTTGTGGTGCAACTTGAGGCCATTTTTTCTAGTCCTATCGGTAGTTGTATGAGAAAAGAGGCCAACACCAGCTCACTATAACCTCCCTTCTGGTAGTCATAGAGAGCAATAACGTCTCCCCTGAGCCTCCTCCCTTCCAGACTAAACAATTCCAGCTTTCTCAGCTGCTCCTCATAAGACTTGAGCTCGAGACTCCTCACCAGCTTAGTTGTCCTTCTTTGGACACACTCCAGGACCTCAATACCTTTTCTTGTAGTGAGGGGCCCAAAACTGAACACAGTACTCAAGGTGTGGCCTCAACAGAGCTGAGTACAGAGTAATTATCCCTTCCTTGCTCTTAGCTGGTTGCACTACTTCTGATACAAGCCAAGATGCCATTGGTCTTTTTTAGCCACATGGACACACTGCTTGTTCATGTTCAGCTGAGGGTGAACAAACACTTCCATTTCTTCGACACAGTCTTCCAGCCTCTCTGTCCCAAGCCTGGGATTTTGTGGCCAAAGTACAGGACCCAGCATTTGGTCTTGTTGAACTTCATCCCACTGGCCTCAGCCTAATTTTCCAGCCTGAATAGATCCCTCTGACGGGCCTTCCTACCCCCAGGCAGTTCAACACTTTCTCCCAACTTCGTGTTATCCGCAGACTTACTGAGAGTGCACTCAATCACCTCATCCAGGTCATCAGTAGAGATACTGAACAGGACAGGCCCCAATACCAATTGCTGGGGAACACCACTCATGACTGTTTGCCAGCTGGATATAACACCACTACTCTCTGGGCCCAGCCAGCCAGCCAGTTCTTTACCCAGAAAAGAGTGTACCTGTCCAAGCCACAGGCTTCTCCAAGAGAATTCTATGGGAGACAGTGTCAAAGGCGTTGATGAAATCTAAGTAGATTCTGTCAATTGAGTCAGAGTTGACAATATTTAGGGAAAATCTTTCTTCCTGTCTCCTTGGTGATGGTGATTTAGTTATAATCTCAACTCCATATTATCCTCAATATATGCCCTAATGGCTATCTTCTGTTCCTTCTGTAAGCTTCTGATTACTACTTTATTCCCCTTGCTGAGAGAGATGTCTACAGGGTCACTTTTCTCCTATTTTCTTCCCTTGCTCTCAGATCCAAAGGACAAGGCAAATAAATGGCCTTCTTCACTGTTCTTTAGCTGTGTCTATTTGAAGGAAAATAGCTGTGCTAAATCAGTAACAGAAGTACCACACTTCAGATGACTATATTGAATTTCCTTCAACAAACTCTGGTAGCTACCAGAGGCTGACTAGTTCTTGGATGTGCACAGATGGAAGTGGTGCAACCAGGGCCAATGCTGACAAGTTTTGCTATCAGATGTCAAAACAATACAGACAGGACTACAAACTGAAAATTTCAGAGGAAATCCATGGTAATCTGTATGTTACCATACAAACAACTTCTACATGATGTTTTTCTCTTTTCTTCCTCTTCCTCCTTATTGATGCATAGTATAAAGTTACTTTACAGATCAAAATAAACAAGAAGGAAAAGCAAGAAATCCCATTGTTTGAAGCAATTTCTTGTATCCCATCTTACTGATCTTGAATCCTATTTTACAGAATCATTTAACATCCCAAGTTGGAAGGGATCTTGAAAATCCTAATTTTTTTGCTACCTGAATATCAGTCAACTCATATTAAATGATCCAAAGAGTGACCTAAGTGACCTACTTAGTCATTGGATTGAACCAGGAAACCTGACAAGAAGCAGACCAGCCCTCACGTTGGCTGACAGCTTAGTCCTCTTGTATCTTTCCAGAAGATCTTACACTGTTCCAACTCTTCACTTTTGTGCCCACCTGTGTGCAATCTACTTAGAATCACGCTCTAAGAATACAAACACAGCAGACCACAAAGAAACCTTTTGTGAGGAATGCCCATTTAGTCATTTGTGATCCATGAATAGCTGAGAGAGATGCACAGAGAGGCCTACGTAGCCAGCAGAGAGCACAGAAGCAGCACAGTCATAATTGACTTGACAGCAACCAGCTAGGTGAATGGGGATTACTCTTGAGAGCACATTAGCAGAACAGGTTTCATTTGTGCTGATCTTAAGGTACTTTAAACAAGTAACAGAAGTATTCTTGTTTTGAGAAATATCTCCATTTTGGCCGCCACTCAGGTAAACAATCATGCTGTGGTACGAATGAATTTGATTTTGAGAAAATACCCTTGATACATCCTGATATTAGAATGCTTTCCTCCCTTCCCCTCCCTGGTGAAAAAGTAGAATGATAAACCAGATTCTCTCAAATTCCAGCACAAAAAGATTTTAAAAACACCTTGCAAACAGAAAAGAACACTTTCAGGCACAGAGCAAAGCAAGGTTGAATTTTTCTAACATATTTTGTTGTGTCCATTTTTGGCATGCATTATTGAAACTCTGGTGCTAAGTATTTGAATCTCTGGAGTAATTCAGCTTCAGGCCATCACTAAATGGAAGATTCTGAGATCCACAGCTACATCTGAAAAACAGTCTTTCGCTTGTGGCTCACCAACAAAAATTTAGTACTGATCTGCAATTATTCTTTTCAACAAAATTCTATTGGTGGCCAAAAGCAGTATGACAAGCAGCGAACAGCATAACTGAAGTAAAAGCACAACATTAACTACATCAAACCTTAAACACCTTTCATTGTTAGAGAGAACTCTAGGTGAAAGGATGCTTCACCTAAAAGAGGGGTGACTTTTGAGACAGCCCAGTGAAAACTGCTATATCATAAGGAAACCAACCACTGGTTACTCTTTGAAAGGAAGAAAATAGCTACAAATTGTTGGAAGAATCCAGCTGGGAGTACCAACAGTTTGGGTAGATGGGGGAAAAAGATGAAAGCAGTCATGAATAGGCAACAGGAGCCTATTTAATGCCTTTAAAATGGAAGAGCAGCTAATGAAGATAATATATAAAATA